TCACTTAGTAAGCTCTGGATCTGGCCCCATCACAATGAATTCTGCTACAGCCCAACTCCTCTGTCTAAAAGACTGTATTGAGTATAGGAAATTCAAGCATCAGAAGTGATACATCTTTACTTTTAGATGGTGAGATTAGTATTTTTTTCACCTTGCATGCATAACTAACTTGGCTATATTCTAAAAGTTCTCTTTGCGTTACTTAGAGCCCCAAAATAACAAGGTCATGCCACGCGCATTCATATATATCTGTACCTGACTAGAAAATGAAAGCTTCTTTTCAGGTGTATTATTTTTGACTAGAAAATATAAAATTGCTTAATTCAGGACAACATTGTTTATTATTTGTATTACAGTGATGTCTACAAGTCCCAACCAAGATAAGGGGCACACTGAATGGATATTCTATAGCCTATAGTGGGACACAGTCTTTGCCTTGAATATCTTAGGGCTTGTCTTTACTAGGGATATGAACGAGTAGTCAACTAGTTGATTACCCGACAAGCCTAGGCTTTACTGGTAATCTAGTCAACTACTTGCATACCGCTGCGCCCCCCCTCCCTCTCCCACCCTCCACTGCCTCTGTATCAGAGGCAGCAAGGTAGGGGAGCAGGAGCAGGTGCTGGAAAGAGCAGGCTTAAAAGCCAGCTCCCCCCAGCACTGGCTCTGTGGTGCTGCCTGCCCCCACATCTCCCCATGCTGGGGACAAGGGAGGCTGCCACAAAGCAGCCTCTTCCAGTGGCAAGTCCTGGCTTCGCAGCAGCAGCCTCTGTCTGCAGGGAGCTTGGATACCCCCTGTGGACAGAGGTTGCTGCTGGAGTAGCCTCTGTTCACAGCCAGCCTCACCCACCCCTCCCTCTCCCTGTAGCCTCTATCAGCAGGGAGCTCAGACCCTGCCCCATGGACAGGGGCTGCTGCCATCCCACGCTGCTGCCTCTGATATAGAGGCAGCCGTGTGGTGCAGCAGGACTGCAAGAGGAACTGGTTTTTAAACTGGCTCCCCTTGCAGACTGGTTCCTGCCTGGTCACCCGGCACTGCTGCCTTTGATACAGAGGAAGCAGCGCAGGGTGCCGGGGGCCTCCCTGGGAGTGGGGCCAAAAGGCACATTCCCTTTTAAAAACAACCTTTTAAATAAATTCTCCCACCATAAGTCAGGGAGTAAGGTCAGAGTTTCATTCTAGATTATTATGAAGATATTGATGGATAGTCCCACTTGTCTTGTCACGTTAGCCTATTATTGTACAGGGATATATAGTTTGACTAGGCGTGGCCTCCTATTTAAGCATATATTTTATGACTGCGTAACTTGGTACTACAGCCTACATAACTTGAATTTTAGCCCCTAAGTAAGCATTTTAAACCAAATTTAGGCAGTTAGGGATACATGTCCGTGCCCTCACTACAGGAGGCCCATAGCCCCACAGCCATTACCTAGCTTCAGTCCTGCTTTTGACTCTGGCTCCTCACCATGGCTCTGACTCTTCTACTGGCACCCAGCCATGAGCCCCTCTGCTGGCCCTGGCTTCCAGTCTCACTCCCAGTCTCAGTTCCTGGTTCCCCACTGCAGCACCCGGGAGGGTACAGACCAAGTAATGGGGGGACAAACAAAAATAGTTGGGGATCATTGACCTATGCTGTAAAAAAAAAAAAAAAAAAAAGAGATGTATCCATGAAGAAATCCAAAGAATCCCCCAAATTAAAGGATCATGCACAAATAAAGCCCTACCAACTGTGGACATTTTTCTTCCACTTTTTTCCATTTTCATCTTTCCCTTTTCATATTCTGTTAACAGCCTCCTCAATATTGTAATTCTGATTAGATCTATAGATACAGCAGTACATACCAAAGAGAGAGACTGCAGTTTGATGCAACATCACAATTAAAATAAATTATTAAAAAACTTGCAATACCTAGATTAGCTCAGCTTCACCCAGGCAATTGAAATACCACACAACCAAGGGTATTTCTGTAGCATACAAAGTATATTTTCAAAATTTTAAATGAACCCTGTTAACTGCTAATTCCCCATCAAAACTACCATGCTTTCACTGTTTCTGCCATCCCATTGTAATCAACGTACTTCAGCAACAGGAAAGCTCTGGAAACCAGCATTTCTGATCTTCATTGGAAGTCCAGTTTGCAGTCCCATTGTTGCGGTGCCGGCAGGTTCCCTATCTGGCTCCATGTGACATGTTCCTGCTGCTCTTGGGCAAAAGAAAGGGTTCCATGTGCTGCACCCCCACATCCCACCCTGAGTGTAGGTTCCACAGCTCCCAATGACCAGGAACTGCAGCCTGTGAGCAGAGGCAGAGAGCAGACCTCCCTAGTCATGTCTCTACCAAGGACCACAGGGACAAGTTGCGCTTGCAGGAAGCTGCCTGAGTTGAGTACCTCCTGGATCTAGCACTCCAAAACCTCTGCCATGTCCCAACCCCCTGTCCAGAGCCCTCTCCCTGAACCCCATCCACATCCAAACTCCCTTCCTCTTAGTTAACCAGAATTTTTTGACTTACCGGCACTCCCTGTTCCCCAACATGCTAGGTAACAAAGCTTTTACTGTAGCTGGAAAATTCAGCAACAGAAAAGATATTCCAGGATATTCAGTTAAAAAAAAAAAAAGAAACATCCTTTTTTTTATTATTTTTCAGTTATAACTAACAAAGACACTTTTCCTGTCTAGTATTTACATCAGTGACCTATTCTTGAGTCAACACTATTTACCACACTGGAGGCATTATTTATTTGGAGTCCATTGAAGGCTTTCCATTTACTATATTGGGATTTGGATTAGGCCTGTGTTCATTAACAGTGACTGTTTCTGAACATATCTCTTTCCAATTATTCTAAAGGAATACTCTCAAATAACTGTAGGCCCAGTGGTTATTAACTGAGTATGAATAACCACCAAAGCTAAATAACCGTTAGATGAAATGTAAACAAAGAGAAAAAGCACTAGCTACTATTGTTTCCGGACATCCTTGGAAAAAAAAGCAGTGATTAGTGTTCCATTGCATGGCTCTTTGGAGGATGACAGCAAAGGAAATCCATTTGCAAAGGTATCATAGACACTGTTGTTTTGAAGGCCACCAGCCAACAGATAAAACAACATTTTTACAAATGTTTTACAAACTGTTGTTACTTCATATGCAGTAGCCATACTTTTATTTGCTACTCATTTACTAAATATAGACAAGGAAACTCTTTCGACTAGTGAAAGTCATTCTTCTGGCAGCACTTTCTGCCTTGAAACTCAGTAGATTATTCTAAACTGCCTAGAAAAGCAAGCTCACAGACAGGAATCTTTGGAATAAAGCAATAAATAAATCTTAAAAAAAAAAAAAACACAACAGTGTTTATCCCCAAGAAATTAGTTCCAGAAAGCAAAGTCTGCCATTAAACAACCTAACAATATTACCATGTTTGTTGGACTTCCACTTGCTTCTGGAAAATTAACTCTTCACATGGATGCTGGCATCCAATTTCACAGAAATTAACTCTTCCATCAAAAATTAATATTGAATACATACACAGTAGAAAGTGAGGAAATGTTGGGGTTGGAATTAATGGCAACACTATAATAAAAGAAGAATAGTGGCATCAGTTACAATTACAAGGAAATACAGTTGGGATATGGAACTTGGGCCAAATCATATCCTTTTTGTGGTTTAGGCTGAACACTCTCCAGAAGGAGGGAAAATCCCACTGCATGGGGTATTAAGAGACTGGCACATGCTGCTTGCATGCTGGAAGCATTCAGTAACACACACTATCTCATTATATTGTTGTATTTCCATCACTTAACATGTTGTTCAAAGCCCATGGCACTGTCTCAGCTTCTCGAGTTCCTATTTTGATGCATTTTAAATCCTTATGTTCAACCAGAACTCTACATCTGTACATTTTAAACCATCATATTCGATTTATATTACATATATGGTTATCATGAAAAACCTTAAACCATTTCCTACAGTCATCCAAAAATAATAAATCAGAAAAAATATTATTCTCACATGATGTACACTTAATGTTTTTTCTCAACAGCCTCCTCATATTTTTGGATAGGGTTGGATACACTGTACTTGGAAGCCTATCTTTATCTCACTCCACATACAAAAAACACACACTGGTTCCTGGAACTGAAAACAGCTGACAAAGGCTAGAAGTAATAATGGACTTCAAGCAGCTTGAAAGTCAGTCAGGACTTAAATTCAATTTCTAAAGAAAACACAGATATAGGAAAATGCTAAAAGATATTGCAGTTTGATCCATCAGCAAAACATTAAAATCTCTTAATAGAGTGATATCAGTCATTCTGGCATCTGTATCACACTGTTGACTCATATTCAATGAGTGATTCCACTGTAATACCCAGACCCTTTTGAGTTGACCTAGTGCCTACCCAGTTATTCCCCATTTTGTAACTGTAAATTTGATTTTTCTTTCCTTAGTGAAGTACTTTGCACTTGTCTTTATTGAACTGCATCTCGCTGAATTCAGATCAATTCTCCAGTTGGTTAATGTCATTTTGAATTCTTCAAAGTGCTTAAAACCTCTGCCAACTTGGCGTCATCTGCAAATTTTATAAGTATGCTCCCAACTACATTATACAATTCATTAATTAAAGTATTGAATCGTACCAAACCCAGGCTTGACACCTATGGGATGTCCATTACATTCACTTGCCCATTTTGATAGCAAACCATTGATAATACTATTTAAGTATGGTTTTTTTCAGCTACTTGGCACCCTCCCCCAGTAAATTCATCCAAACCATATTTCAGTATGAGAATGCCATATTAGACTGATGATATATTTGCATGTAACCTATTCCACAGCTTTAAAATAACTCTCATAACATATAAAACTCACTCAACCGGAAGGCCCATTCTGAATAGCTAATCACCGCAAATTATTAAAAAAAGTAATGTAGTAGATTGGAGCAGATTTGTCAGTGAGATTCATCACAGCAAACAAAACTGCTGAGTTCTCTTGCTATACCTCTTAAGATGTAGTTCTGATAGTTCTGGTCTGCCTCAGCTCCCACTTTTATCAAGCAAGTCAGGCCTTCAGCCACAACAAACTCGTGAACCAAATCCTTGTCATCCTGCCAGAGAAGAAGAGAAAGGGAGAGAAAACAGATACTATATTACAAATCTCAAAGACAAGGAAACATTTTTTGTCATAACATGAACTAAAATATACAGTCTGTGGTTTTTACTTTCTATTCAAATTAAATGAACTAAGCATACTCTTTCCTATAAGTCAGAACTAGACCAAGAATTCTTCTATCAACCAAGCCAGAATCATACTATGACCATTCTATGGAACTCAGAGTGTGAAATTTTTCACAGTCCACAGCAACAAAACAAGGTCTATCTAATTTCTAGATGGAGACCAAATATATGTATACACCACAATTCAACAACCACAGTTGGCCAATGAGCTTCCAGGCCTTGGATGCAGGCTACAAAATTGTTGTGTAGATGTTGAGGGTTGGTCTGGAGTTCAGACTCTTAGACCCTCCCTGCTTCTCAGAATCCCAGGGCTCAAGTTCCAGTCTAAGCCCAAACATGTATGCTGTAATTTTACAGTCCTTTAGCCAGAGCCTCAGAAGCCTAAGATCATGGACATGGGTGTTCAAATACAGTGTACACATGTGCTAAGACCCGGTGGCAAGATCTCTCTTTTTGTTAATAGCCATCCTTTGGGATTTACTACACAAGTGCATCTCGTTTATGAAATTTTGATAGGAATACAAACTGAGTAAGGATTTCAAGAATTTGACCCACAGTTTTCAGTTGGTTGGTTAATTTCTTTAGATAAGAATACAGGCAGTCCCCGGGTTATGTACAAGATAGGGACTGTAGGTTTGTTCTTAAGTTGAATTTGTACGTAAGTCGGATCTGGTACATATTGTACCCCAGGTGTCCCCGATTCAGCCGCTGCTGAAACTGACCAGCGGCTGACTACAGGAAGCCCGAGGCAGTGCTGCTTTGCCCCGGGCTTCCTGGAATCAGACGCTGATCAGTTTCAGCAGCAGCTGACTTCGGGACACCTGGGGTAGAGCAGCAGGGGTGCTGCCAGGTTGGTCCCCGCAGCGCCGAGGTGCGGCGCTGCAGGGACCAACCAGGCAGTGCCCCAGCTGCTCTGTCCCAGGCATCTGGATTCAGCCGCTGTTGAAACTGACCAGCGGCTGACTCCAGGAAGCCCGGGGCAGAACAGCTCTGCCTCGGGCTGTTGGCGCGGCAGGACCAAACCGGCAGCACCCCAGTTGCTCTACCCCAGGAGTCGGTGAGAAAAGCCTGGTCTGCTGGCCCCCCCCCCCCCCAGCAGCCCAGGGAGACGCGGAGCGGCTTTTCTCGCCGCAAAGGACGCGGGAGGCGGGACCGCAGCGCGTCTCAGCGGTCCCGCCGCCCGCGTCCTCCACGGTGAGAAAAGCCACTCCGCGTCTTCCTGGTCTGCTGGGGGGGGGGGTGCTAGCTCCGCATCTCCCTGGTCTGCTGGGGGGAAGTGCCCCCCACTCCGCCGGAGGCGGCGACAGTGGGGGACGCACCCCCACTAGCTGTGCCACCCCCCCCCTCGTTTGTAAGTAGGGGTCCGACTTACATCGGATTGACGTAACCCGGGGATTTACTGTATAATGTAGACTAATGAAGAAACGAAAGACTCAATAAAAACTGTATGCACCAATGAATTAATTTCTAACAACATAAGCTACCAAATCAGAGGATAATTCAATTGCACATCAACTAATTTGATCTATGCCATCAAAAGCCAGCATTGCCCCCCTGTTATATATACTGGACAAACGACAGTCCCTATGGGAAAGAATCAATGGACACAAATCAGATATACATAAAGGGAACATACAAAAACCTGTTGGGAGAGCACTTCAGTCTACCTAATCACACTTTAAAAGATCTCCAGGTGGAGGTCTTATCACAAACCAATTCTACAAGTCAAATACACAGAGAGGTGTTGGAATTACAATTCATCCACAAGTTCAATTCTCATGCTGAGGGTTTCAATTGTGATGACGGATAGGTGGGACACTATCAACCTAACATTCAATGAAGGTGCAAACAGCTCTTTGTCTGTGTAGATTCTAGTGTTAACACCCTTTCTATCTATTACTATCCTTTGATCTGTTTCTTTTCAACTATCCAATCTTTAGGTGTTTATAGATTGCCAGTTCTGCCTACTTGTTTTTCCCTTTGATATTTCTATATTCTCTGCTCCTTGTTTCCTGCTCCCCCCTTTCCCCCCTTCTTCCCTATTTATTTTGGGTTTGCACATCCTAAACTCAAAACTCCGGTCATTTGTAGAAGTGGGCTGTGCCCACAGAAGCTCATGATACCATCTACATGTTTTGTTAGTCTATAAAGTGCTACCAGACCATTTGTTGTTTTTAAAGTTTATCCTCTACAGAATAACTTGGCTACCCCCTGCAAATTAGAAAGTGTTTCTCAAATAGCAGGAATTGAGTGAAAACCATTTCAAATTGTAAAATTTTGCATAAAGAAAAATATCAGTGTTCAAGCACAGTGGCTGTCATTTAAAAAGTCAGCATTTAGAGTTACCTCAAAATAGTACTGCATGTTAATATTTAAGTTCCTAGCATTAAAAAAATCCTATTACCCTGCAAGGTATAATCCTTTCCCCCAGAAAATGATCAGAATTAATTCTGCAGGCCAAGTATAATTTTAAATGACATGATTTTACACATTTGGAATTAGTTTCATATTCACCTCTACTGTCATATTGGTACGATGACCAGTCCAAACTTAACAGAAACTTGAGTAACTTCTAGCATCAGAGATTCTTTTTTGTTAATCATTAATTATTATGGCAACAACAATACTTGTTGACTTAAGGACCAATACCCATAACAATGAGAATAATTAACTACATCTGTGCCATTCTGGTTAATATAATACCACTTCAGGACTGTGGTTTACAATTTGCCATTAGTTAAATTTGATAGTGGTGATTTTTGCAAGTCATTTCTTGGACCACCAGTCTTTTATGTAGCATAATTGAATGCTCAAACTTACAAAAAGTCACTGGATAGTTAATTAAGCAGCAGCTGATTGGATGACTAAATCAATCGACCATGGAAGCAAGGGCGGAGAATGTCAAACTTATGGGCTACATCTAACCCATTGCTTGATTTCTTCCAACCCGCAGCAAATCTTTATGCCACAGGCTGGAAGCCCTGGTATGTTGCTGCGGCACTTAGGCATGTGGAGAGCAGGGAAGGTCTATGTGCTGCTGCTCCCACCCCCAGCGATGACTCTGCAGCTCCCACTGGCTGAGAAGCATGTACAATGGAAGTGTAAGGCGGAGCCTGTGGGTGCAAGTGGTGTACACCATTCAGAGCCACATGCTGGACCCTCCATGTAGGGGCCAGACATGGCGGCTGCTTCCGGGAGTGTTGCAGGGCCAGGGAAGGGAGGGAGCCTGCCTTAGTCCTGCTGCACTGCTAACCAGGAGCCACCTCAAGAAAGTACTGCCTAGCCAGAGTCCACACTCTTAGCTGCCTCCCCCAGGTTAGAACTCCCTCCTGAGCTCTGAATCCCTCATTCCCTCTGAGACTCTGCACCTCCATCTGGAGCCCTAACCTGCTCCCACACTTCAACCTCCATCCCCAATCGGAGCCCCATCTTGCATCCTGAGCCCCTCATTTTTGCTCTCCCCCGAGCCTCCCCACCATGGGGTTGGAACTGTGACTGCAGCTTGCCAGAACTAATGGTAAACAAATCATTGTGGTATTTCAACATACAGCAAGATTATGGTGTCTAAGCCCCATAGGAAAAAAAATTACCAGAAAAAAGAAGTTACCAAAAATTAGTAATGGGAGAGTAAGTTTACTAAAGGTGCCAAAAAGAGTCTTCTTCAAAATAACTTTTTGGCAAGTTGTTATTGCTTTTATTCAAATTAATAAAAAATAATATTAGAACCTTAGCAATAATTTAGAAACCATTGAGATACAAGGAACACATCTCCAAATATATATTGCCAATCAGAATTACAACTGAAGTAAGTTAAATTGGTTGGTAACTATCTTTTGCAGGATGCATTACTTTTCTATTAGAAATACCTTGTGGGCACCTTTCTAAAAATCTTGATAGGATATTGAGCCTTTCCTCAATGGTTTTCAATGTATTTGAGTTGACAGATAAAATGATCCCTGCTGGAGTGGATAAGGCATAGCACAAGAAATATTGAAAAATACAATAACCATGTTCCAGTATTTATAAAATGTATTTAACATATCAATTTTGGAAGAGCTATAACATATGAAAGATACAAAAAAAGTCCAATCCACAACCCACAGAAGTCAATAGGAGTCTTTCTACAGGTGTCAGTGAGCTTTAGATGAGGTCCTTCAGGTGCAAAAAAAGGGCTTTCTTAGGGCAAGTTTACACTAGAAGCGCTACAGATGCACCAATACAGCTGTGCCACTCTAACACATTACGTCGACAGGAGAGATCTCTCCCGTCAGTATAATAAAATCAGCTGCATGAGAGGAGATAGCTAAGTTGGTGGAAGAGTTGTTGATACCAGCACTTAATTTAAAGCAACTTGCAAATTTAAAACTTAGAATGGTGGCTTATTAACACCCTGAATAATGTAAATTATTCCTGCATAAGTGGTAATGTGCACCAGTCCTTAGAAATCTCCCTCTAAACTGTTACTGGAATGGATGCATAGTTATTTTATGTTTGTACTTCTACCATAATATCATTCACGTACAAAAAAGCTAACATAAGAATGGCCATACTGGGTGAGACCAAAGATCCATCTAGCCCAGTCTCCTGTCTGCTGACAGTGGCCAATGCCAGATGCCGCAGAGGGAGTGAACACAACAGATAAAAAAAGAAATAACAAAATGTTTTTTAAGTACATTAGAAGCAGGAAGCCTGCTAAAAAGCCTGTGGGTCCCCTAGATGATCGAGCTATAAAAGGAGCAATCAAGGACGATAAAGCCATTGCGGAGAAACTAAATGATTTCTTTGCTTCAGTCTTCACGGCTGAGGACGTTGGAGAGATTCCTGAATCTGCACCGTCCTTTGTGGGTGATGAATATGAGGAACTGTCCCG